TCTAAATTTGAGTCAATCACACCCAATTTCCCCTCCCCCCTTGATGTTTGAGAAATTAAAAAAAACCCCAGGGAATGAGGAGGAAAAACGAGGATCGACATTGGAACGTTTGGATTTTGATATTTTCAAGAATTTGGGGTTAAAAATCTGCAGGAGCAGGATTTGCCCATGGATCCATCCAAGGGCTGAGGGAACAGAGGAGGGAAAATGGGATTTCCTGTTTTCAATCGGGACTGCCTGATCCCGGGATTTGGAGCATCCCAGGGTTTGGATCATCCCTGAGTCCCTGATCCCGGGATTTGGAGCATCCCAGGGTTTGGATCATCCCTGAGTCCCTGATCCCAGGATTTGGAGTATCCCGGATTTCCTGATCCCAGGATTGGATCATCCCTGACTCCCTGATCTCAGGATTGGAGAAACCCAGATTTCCTGATCCCGGGATTTGGAGCATCCTGGGGTTTGTGACATCCTTGACTCCCCGATCCCGGGATCTGGAGTATTCTCGATTCCCTGATTCCAGGATTTGGAGTATCCCAGATTTCCTGATCCTGGGATTTGTAGCATCCCAGACTCCCTGATCCCGGGATTTGGAGCATCCCTGACTCCCTGACACCAGGATTGGAGCATCCCTCATCCCAGGATTTGGAGCATCTTGGGATTTGGGGCATCCTGGACTCCCTGATCCCGGGATTGGAGCAACCCTGGCTCTCTGATCCCAGGATTTGGATCATCCCGACTCCCTGAGCCTGGGATTTGGAGTATCCCGACTCCCTGAGCCTGGGATTTGGAGTATCCTGGGATTGGAAGAGCATCCCTGACTCCCTGTTCTGGGGATTTGGATCATCTCTGACTCCCTGATCCCGGGGTTTTGAGCATCTCTGATTCGCTGATCCCGGTATTTGGATCGTTCCAGACTCCCTAATACCAGGAATACCAGGACTGGAGAATCCCACGTTCCCCGATCCTGGGATTGGAGTATCCCGGATTTCCTGATCCCAGGATTGGATCATCCCTGACTCCCTGATCCCGGGATTTGGATCATCCCAGACTCTCTGATCCCAGGATTTGGATCATCCTGGGGTTTGTGACATCCTTGACTCCCCGATCCCGGGATCTGGAGTATTCCGGATTCCCTGATTCCAGGATTTGGAGTATCCCAGAATTCCTGATCCCAGGATTTGTAGCATCCCTGACTCCCTGACACCAGGACTGGAGCATCCCCAACTCCCTGATCCCGGGATTTGGATCATCCTGGGGTTTGGGGCATCCTGACTCTCTGATCCTGGGATTTGGATCATCCCTGACTCCCTGATCCTAGGATTTGGAGCATCCCAGGATTGGGATCATCCCCAATTCCCTGATCCCGGGGTTCGGAGTATCCTGGGGTTTGGAACATCCCAGATTCCCTAATCCCAGGATTTTTAGCATTCCAGATTCCCTGATCCTGGGATTGGAGTATCCTGGGATTTGCAGCATCCTCAACTCCCTGATTCCAGGATTTGGAGTATCCCGGATTCCCTGATCCTGAGATTTAGAGCATCCTGGGGTTTGGGGCATCTTTGACTCCCTGATCCCRGGATTTGGCCTCTCCCAGAATTTGGAGCATCMTGGGGTTTGTGGCATCCTCAACTCCTGATCCCAGGATTTGGAGTATCCTGAATTTCCTGATCCTGGGATTCAGATCATCCCTGACTCCCTGATCCCAGGATTTGGAGCATCCCTGACTCCCTGATCCCTGGGATTTAAATCATTACTGATTCCCTGATCTCGGGATTTGGAGCATCCTAGCGTTTGGAGCATTCTCAACTCCCTGATCCCAGAATTTTGAGTATCCTAGATTTCCTGATCCTGGGATTTGGAGCATCCTGAACTGCCTGATGCTGGGATTTGGATCATCCCTGTCTCCCGGCTCCCAGGATTTGGATCATCCCAGGATCTGGATCGCCCCAGACTCCCTGATCCTGGGGATTTGGATCATCCCCGACTCCCTCATCCTGGTTTTTGGATCATCCCAGGATTTGGATCATCCCCGTCTCCCTGCTCCCAGAGTTTGAGCCATCTCTGAGTACRGACCCGCCCTGTCCGGGGCTGGAAACCGGAGCCGCCGCTCGGGGCCGATAAAAAACAGCCTGACCCAGAAAATTTCCCTTTTTTCCATCGGMAGCGCYGRGGGGAAGGGCGGGAGCGGGGCCCTGATGAATTATGGAACGCCGGGAATCGAGCGGTGCCACAAACCAATCCTGAATTATTTAATTCCGTCCCGCCCGGATCCTGCGGGGAAAAGATCCAAGGAAGGAGAGAGAATTGGAGCCAGGAATTGCTCCCAGA